CATTTTCCACAGAACTCTGGCTACAGCATTTTGGATTAGCTGAAGGCTTTTAACTACAGTTTGTGGACTTCCTGATAGTAAAGAATTACAATAGTCCAGCCTTGAAGTAACAAATGCATGGACTAGTTTCTCAGCATCACCCCTGGAAAGGATATTTCTAATTTTTGCAATATTATTATGCATATGCAATTCATGTTAGTATAAATGCTAAACAATTTAATTAGATTTTTTTATAGAAAAATAATTACAGAAATGTTTACAATATCACAAGCTGCAGCACACTTCATATAGATGAAAGATGTCTAATATCTTCCCGAGGTGGACTGTCACATATAACGTATGACACATCTCATAAACAATTTTTTCTCTTTATTTTAAGTGAGCCAAATTACTTGTATTTGAAATAAAATAATGGAAATTGCTGCTGTATTCTGGTTATTTTAATAAGCCATGTAACTTGCTGTGATCCCGGGCGTTTTTTAATCAGGTAGTGTCTCTCTGTCTTTACAGCGCAGCTCCGAAGTTTCCAACCCAAGCGGACAAGCGTCTCCGCGAGGACATCAGCATCATCATTCGCTTCTATGCCAGCATCCTGTCGGACAAGAAGTACCTGGCGGCGTGCCAGCTGGTCCCCCCCGGTGAGCTTGGTACTACCTCAGCCCCGAGCACTCTGTCTGCTGGGATATTCGGATCGCTTATCGTGTCCAGCACTACTCCGATATCTATCTTAAGTAAGCCTGAAGCGGTGGAGCTCGGAAGCAGGGGCATGCTGTCACGCGTGTCAGATTTGACATGGCTTCTCCTCACAGGGCTGCTGTCTCTCTAAATTTCCTTACTTCCATTTCTCTAATTCTCTAAAATCTCTTGCTGTCTTTTAGCTTTTGGATTGTTACTTTTTCCAGCAGCTGTGAGGAAAAGCACAAATTTGGCATCAGCGTCATGATGCATGACTGTCCATCAGCCCAAACCGTCTGCCCCATCCTCCACCTGATCAGTGTGGTCTCAAAACAAGAAACCAAATCCTCAAAAGATAAAAAAAAAAAAAAAACTCCTGTCTTCATTCCTGATGATCCAGAAAAAGACATGCCTTCATTCTCATCTACATCAACAGCTTCAGGTAGATTAGAGCTCTAATCCCAGAACCTGGATCAGATTTCCACCACGTCTGACCGAGTATCAGTGGATTAAGGCGACTTCTACCTCCATTTACGGCCCAGTCCCCCATTTTCTAAATGCATGAAGAAGACTGAAGCAAAAAATTCATCTCTCTTCCCAAACAAATCCTCATCATCAACCATGCTCTTTTACTTTTATTATTATTTTTATTATTAAAAGGTTATGTAGATAATACTAAACACATTAAAACTATAAACCTTAAAGGTGCATAATCATGTTATTTATATTTTTGTACTTTATATCCCAGTAAAGGGCAGATTATACTTCTGCAACCGCAAACATGTTGGGTCTGGTTGCGAACCGGTTTTGCTGGTATGCTTCTGCACCGTCGACACACAGCAGTTTCCCGCCAAAGCGCAAGGGGGAGCCTAATTTCAGAACTCGCAAGAACTTTGCCGGCACCGGCAGGAATGTTTATATTCCAAAACAACAATGGTGCGTCTGCAAGATATCACGGTCACAGAGATGGATCTAGAGTTGCTAGACATTGAAGAGGAACAGGTTCTGTTAATGGAGTTGGCAAAAAGACTGATCAACCTTTCGTAGTGGTTATTCATTGTTGTTCCTCGGTTTTCAAAAAAGGCGCCCCCTGGCACCGAATTGACAAGGACGACCACACAGACAGCCAGAGAGGCATACCAAGGACCAATCACAGCTGCTTTTTGTCTGCGCACTTCCGCTTGAGGTCTGCGCGGGTTTGCGACCATCCAACGCTTAGTCAGGATTTTTTTGAGGTGCATGACAACGGTTGCAGAACCTCTGCTCAGGGATGTGGTCGCGCACAAAGACAGATTTGACGGTTGCAGAGGCTATGCTTCGAAAGCATAAATTGGCCTTTAAGATTACCACATCCTGCTGTTGTATTATTTATTTAATTTTCGGTTTTACTCTTTATTTTTGCTCAGTTTGTTTGTAAATAAAACCCTTTTGTTTATATTTACAATAGAAAAGAAGGTAAGATACTGTACATGTGCACATGGGGTAAACAAGGAAGTAAAGTAGCCTATGGTGGCTAGGCCAGTTAGCACCTCCTAGCGAAGTGTGGAAATAATGAAGAAAAGTCAAAATTTCAGTATGGGGCAAAAAAAGAAAAATATATTTGATTGCAGGAGGTATAATGATTAGCAGAGCACTCTGAACGTTGGTGTTTGCTGCAGAAGAAGCTAAAGCTGCGTAGGCGTTCAGATGTCTCTAAGTTGATGGATGTGTGATCAAACGTCCTTATTAATATTGACGCTACTGATAGCAATGCTAACCTTACTCTCTACGGTCTGAGAACAAGCAAAATTATGATTAGATGTGGTCCTTTGCCACATGTGTCTGCCACTCTCTCTTACCCCCTTTCCTGTCACCCTACTCTCAGAAAAAAAAAGCCAGTAAGACCTTACTTGTCTTGTCTACAGCCACGCGGAGCTGTAGCTTTTCAGCAAGTCATTGCAGGACGGTTAGGCTCTATTCAATCGTTGCACGCAGCTACAGCTCATGCTGTCAGAAGAAACCGCAGGGTTTCATCGGACACTGTGAGTTTACAGCACGCTCTAAAACCCACGTCGGACTCAGCACAGCAGTGAGACGACGCTACTCGGACACGTCTACCCGGAAGCCAAACCAGTAGAAGAGGAATATGAAGCTCACTAGAGAGAAACGCGCTGCTTTGGAAATTTGTGCAATTTTGTGGCTGAAAGCCCTAAAAAGAAAAGGTGACGACGTATTTGGACAAAGACATGGCTGAGCAAACGTGGCTACTACTGTCTGTCAATTTTACGGAAAGAACTCAATTTCACTCACACTCCCGCCATTCTTCTGCGTTTTCATCTCAGAGGAAAAAGAAGAAGAAGAAACCTTGTTTGCCCACTGAGCGATTTGCCCATGACGGCCGACTAAATTTCAAACATGAGAGGCTGATCGCCCCTCGTTACCTCCTGTACATTACACGATGCACGACGCGCGGTCAAGCTGGAAGTCGGCCCTATCGAAGAATTCTCGCACCACTGGAAAGTCGGCCCGAAAATCGTACACTGTATGCCCGGCTTTAGTAGTTTCCATCCGGCTTTCTGATAGTCCTGTGGTTCTACCAGCAGATGGCGACACCTCTGTTTCTATCCACCCACAGCACCCAGTGCTGGTATTCAATTTAGGCTCAAAAAGGAGAATCTAAACACTATCAGGCCAGACATTATTTATTGTGGTTTAATTACCGGTCCCATTTGTTTGTATAGATACATAACATGACGAAGCACCTTTAAGATGATTTTTTTTTTTTTTTTTTTAAAGCCTAGAATACATTAAAATGTGAATTCTTTCTTGAGGTTTTCATATTTACTGGTTTCACAGATTGGACTAGTGCTGTTTTTGCTTCGGTCGTTCCTGATTTTGTGCATCTGTGAACAGATAATCAGGACCCATCTTTAAACAGCCTGTCAGTGATGAATGCCGCTGACATGAGGAGCAACGTGGACTCCAGCTCACGCTCCCAGCAGAGCGGACAGGGGTGGATCAACACGTATCCGCTGTCCAGTGGGATGTCCACCACCTCTAAGAAGTCAGGTAGGAGTTTATCTTACAGCAGGACAGCAGAGGGAACAGATTCTGTCTTTTCACGCGACTCTGACGATTATCAATGATTAATGGGTGGATTCAGCCACTATCTGGAGCACCTGATCATTAGGGCTGAAATAGTGAGAAGATCAACTTCTTTGAGCTTTTAACTGTTTTAATTCTGTTTCTTTATCAATGTCATGGTATTTCACTTGATTTGTGCATCTTTGAGAAGGGTCCCTCGCTGCACCCAGAGAGAGGAGATGTGAGGCGGAGCATGTTAGAGAAAAAGGCTCTTTTAAGCAGCTAATCTGCACAATCAAGCAACTCTCAAGAAGTCTGAGACTTTGTTCAGTCTTCAGAAAGTGGGGTGATATATCCACAATGTAAAAAAGAGCCCTACCCAGACGGAAGAGGCGGCTTCTCTGTGTAAGCAGCCTGTTTAATTGTCTGTTTAAAGCATATAAATACATGGAATTGAACTGAAGTGTTTTTCTTCAGGTTTGGAGGAAAACCGCTCAAATTGAAAACAAATGATTCTCTTGGGAGGTTAAATGTGTAACTTCATCATATATTTTCCTGTAGGTGACTTTGAAAGGCTTAAAAAAGTAGAATATGGTACCCTTAAGTTTTATAGTCTGGGGCAAATTGGTTCTCAGTCATGAACAAAGAGCTAAAAAAAAATAATAATCTATTGAAAAAGTATAGTGAAACTGCCAGGAACCGATTTTCCTCGGGTGCTATCATTGTCCAGAACTGCAGCTGCATGGAGTGCTGAGAAGCACGAGGCGTTCAGGGCTCAGACCCAGGAAGCTAACGAAGGCTGAGACCCGACTAACATCGAACAAAACACATGAACTGAAGCAGAAGACGCCTGGAAATGTCTGAAATAGATATTCCAAAAAAGGTTAAAAAACAGCCGACTGAACTTTGTTCCCAAGTTTGAAGACATTTCACTTCCCATCCAGGAAGCTTTTTCAATTCAAAATGTCAGGAATAGTGTTGAGTTCGAGGTTTTATACAGTAGCTCATCAAAGCCTTGTTTTTGTTTTGAAAACATGCAAATTGACTTTGACAAATGTATCCATTCATTTACAATGGGGGGATCGTTTGGCAGATGGATAGTTTTCCATGTTCTTATGGACCAATAAGATGAGCGGACTCCTGACAGAGCAGGTGGATCGACTCATGGCTAGATCCGTAATAGAGCTCTACTTTAAGACATCAAGACTTGACTGCTGGTATTGTTAAAGTTTGACTTATCTCACAATCCACTTTATTTGTGCATGTAAATAGTAAAATCTAGGTCTATGGGGTGCCACCTATAATGGCCCAGAAACCTTGTATCCAAACTAGTGTTGCACCAATACCGAAAGCTGTATCAGGCGGGGCCCCAATCCAGCACTAAAATGGTGGTATCGGTATTGGCTAGTACCAACAAATAGGGCACTGATACCATTTTGAGAGCCAAAATTCAACTATTGTCACCTATTCCAGGTAGGCAATAAAAAGTTCTACTGGATTCACTTTGTATTAGTCTTTTTCCTGCTTCACAAAGGTAGGCAGCAGCTTGACAAAGCCATGATAGCAATTATTTTACATCCAGGTAGTATGCAGTTCTCCAAAATATACACATACACATCAATTTCAAACAGATGGTATCGGTATCGGCCAATAGTGCACAGCCAGGTATCGGGTAGCGGGGCCAAAAAATGGCATCGGCGCAACATTAATCCAAACGGCCACAGGGCCTCTTGGGACGGTCCTCAAGGACTGAAAAGCTTCAGTCTTATCGCTTCTCTTAACGCTTTTATTAAAGGAGAAGTTCACTTTTTAACACTTTAAGCCCATTTTCTGTAGTGTCCAGGATGAAATCGAATGATCGACACCAAAATTTTGACAATTGGTCCTGTCTCTGCTTTTTGGCTCATGCAGAATCACCCCCTGGCTGCTTTAGAATGGCTTCCATAGAGCATGTCCGATAATGTCCTTAAAACAACCTTAAACGTTCTTTTTTAAAAATATGCTACTCACCGGGTCGTCAGCGCTGTTCAATGACGTTCCAAAAAAAGTTTCGTAAAGAAAAAACGTTCCTGTAGTGTTTTATTTAGCATTTTGTAAATCCCATTGAGTTCTGTAGGAATAGTCAATATTCCGCTGCCACCGGAAACGGAAATGGGGCCTGTTTACACAGTTGTAGTCTTTTCGCTTCACTCTAGGTACTCCGACGTCGAGAATCAAGAATCCACCTTTCGTATTCAATTTTCAGAGTTTTTTAAAGTGTTTAACAGAGACGTTAGCACCTCGACGTAATTTCTGCTTTTTTTTCCCCTTTCCGCTTATTTACTTTAGCCACAGGTAACATCGGATCTGTTGCTTTGAGACCGCTAATTTGCGGTTGCTTTTAACTGCATAGAGAGTAGCTATGTGGCTGGAGGAGAGACGCACATCAGGAGTAAAGGGGAGCTACTTCGATGTATGTTTAAGTGAAAAAGTTAGGAGGCTCTTGAATAGGCTCCGATGCTTATAAAAATTAGAGATGCCTCCAAACAATCAGTTCGTTATACACACAGAGCTTTATCAGATAAAAATGGCAAAAAAAAAGTTTATACAAGTTAGTGTTATAATGCAAGAAGCTTGAGAAAACATAGTTTAAATGTTCTTCTTTACTAAAAAAGCTGGGCTTCTCAGAGGACCATGACTCCCAGGTACAGGTTCAAACTAACGCATGTTATCTTATTGTGCAGACAGAATCAGACTGCAGAGCTTCTTCTACATATCTCGAAATTTTGTTTCTGGCATCAACATTAGTAAAAAGGTTCATAAATAAATAAAATAGATGTATGGAACTGAAATTGTAGATTCTAGGGATGCATAATATATCGATTTTTGGCATCGGAACCGGCTGTTATTCATACATTTTTTTACATTAATGTTTTTGGCTACTATGTATATATGTATATGTATATATATATATATATATATATATATGTATATACATATACATTAGGGATGGGACGATTTTTGCACAAAGCAAAGCATACAGCCTCCACCGTGGCTCCCGTCAGGTCCGCTCTGAGTCCCTTGGAGATGGTAGAGAGCATACACGAGATGATTAAATTCAAAGAAGCAAAACATACGGAAATGATTCAGGGTTTCCGCGGATCATTTAAAATAATTACAATCCATTATTTTTTGGGGGATTTTTTCATTAATTTCACAAGTTTTTATGGGATTTCGGTGTAACAATCAACATATACCAAATCGAACCGAACCGAAAACCGTGACCACGAAACCGTGAATCGAACCAAACCGTGGATTTTGTGAACCTTTCCACCCCTAATATACATGTATATATGTATATATATATATACATGTGTATATATGTATATAAATACATATATACACATATATATATGTATATATATGTGTAATCCACTAAAATGCATCTCTTTAACTACCTATAAATATAGCGTATCAGTGTATTGTGGTTCTCTTGTGAAAGCATTTAATAACTATGTTTGAGCTCATTTTTGGAAAATACTAAGACCTAATGAAAGCATTTGGGTTGAGTAACTGTAGGTCCATCAGTCACCACCCTTAAAGTGTCCCCACCAACTTTCATTACAAAGTTACACCCTTGGTTCTGGGTGTTAAAAAAATCTTTAGTTAGAATCTAAAAAACATAATAAAGCAGTGATTGGACCAAAGAAACAACCTAAAACTGAGTTCAGAGGTTTAACTTTCTGCACTTCCTCTTCTTTGAAGGCACATCTAAGAAGAGCAACAGAGGAACGCAGCTCCACAAGTACTACATGAAGCGGCGCACTCTGCTGCTGGCGTTGTTGGTGAGTTCAGACCACCTAGTTGACCCTCTTTGCTCAGAAGGCTTTTACATTTGCTTCTTTCTTCTTCTCTCTCAACAGGCCAGCGAGATTGAGCGCCTGACAACGTGGTACAACCCGCTGTCCACGCAGGAGCTGGCCATTGCCACCGAGCAGTCAGTGGAGACCAGCATCGCCAACTGGAGGTCCAAGTACATCAGTCTGACAGAGAAGCAGTGGAAGGACAACGTCAACCTGGCCTGGAGCATCGCACCTTACCTGGCTATGCAACTCCCTACAAGGTGACCTTTTTCTTCTCAGTCAGACGAGCTGAGGTTTAGAAAAGCAAACAAAGCTTCAGTGTGTTACCTAAAGGGAAGGAAATCTGTTTATTGCTTGATCTGTTAGACATGGATCTGAGAGTGAAGTGAGGGATAACATTTTCCCTTGTGTCTGATAGATGTTTTTTCTGTTCCTAATAGAGTTTTAATTTGCACTTTCTGAGCTAGATATGAGTTGTGAGGCGAATTTACCTTATTGTAGGAATCTGTGAACAAAGACCTTAGGGCTTTGGTGCCTTTGTCTTTGTAAACATATTAAAGTTAATCAAAAAGATAAATAAAGGTGGTTTTACTTCTCTTTTCGGGTGATGAAGCAGACAGAAGACGTTTTATCATTGTCTTCCTTTTATCTCTTCTTTCTTTCATCTTTTCTCCTTTTTCCTGTTTCTCCTTTCCTGTTCTACTTTCCCATTGCAGTGTCCATATAATCTGTAATAATCCCTGCATGAATTACAGTGGAATCCTCTTATAGTGATCACGTCGGTCCAGAGCCAATTTAAACAGTATAAGTGGTTGATTACTATATCCGAATTTACAGTTATTTCACTTATTTTTTTATGCAGAATATCATCTAAATGCCATTTGTGTGGTTTTTCAATGAGAAAAATGAAATGAAACAGATAGCTTCCGCATTTACTAAATTATATTACAGTACCATGCAAGTTTAATTACAGTATACTGCACTGTGCGCAGACATAACTCTGATAGCCTGGTGCCGCTGGTGCATTTTTTTTAACCCATTTAGGCCTAAAACGCCTGGAAAAAACACCTTAAAAACCTATGGCCGATTTTAAAAAATACCCCTAAAACCTGAAGTTTTTCTGTAAATTCAGCAACTGTGTCAACGCCTAGTAAATTATTGATATCTCAGCTTCTGTAGCAGATAGAACTCAAAAAATATTTTATCTTTGAAAATCTTCCAAAAATAAAAAGTGAAAAGCAGTAATCAAAAAAAAAAAAAATTTTTTTTTTGAAAATTTTCCAAAAAAAAAAAATGAAAAACAGTAATAAAAAAAAAAAAAAAAAAATTCAACCTT